CTTTTCCTTTCCAATCCAATAGTTCCACTTTAGCAGAATCAAATATACTTCAGTATGTCTTTAGTTGAACTTCAGCACTACTTCCATACAATTAAAGTGCATTAAGTACAAAATTAGTTGTTCCACTTTAAGTGTAGCAGTTTAATATACTAAAAGTACAATTGCAGGGTATTTTTATTAAGTACATAAATATGTAAATGTATTTGTAGTATACTTAGTATGAAATAAATGTATTTTAAATACATTTTAGTACATTTTAAAGTGAAAGAAAAAAGATAAGTGGAGAAGTTTTATCATGTCTGTATCAGAAAAGATCCTGAAAAGGACAGTAAAAGAGACAGAAGAAAACATTTGAAATGTTCTGGGAATACACATAATAATGTTTTCATTGTGCGTGTATAGATCATGGCTTTGAGAACAGAAGAGCTTTTCTTTGTGCAGGTTATTTTATTATCATAAAATCTGTTTTTCCTTTAATGTTTCCTCAGCTCAGTGGAACAACAGCTTAGGGAGAAACCAGTCACTAAATGAGTCAGTTCCTGACACAAACGCAAAGCTCAGAGTTCCAGTTAAACACCTCCCGTACAGCATTAATCAGAGGTGGTCTTACAGTTTGTCTTTCCTTTATTTCATCCAGTTTACCATTTATGCAGCTGTTTAAATAGCATTTCAGTGTAGAGTTTGTACCTTGATCATAAAATACATCCATTGTAATGATAGAATAGTGAAAAGAGACCTGCTCCTGAACAGAACTAACAAAAAACAAGGCACAAAAGCTTTCTTTTTCCCTTTGGGACAGTAGATTAAAAAAAGACACCGCTGTGTCCTAAATGGGTTTCAGGAGATGCCAAGAAAGGGCGAGCAATTATTTTTTGATACAATTTGATCAGATGTACTGAGAGTTTTGAAAAGACTTTCTTCTGCGTTTATAAGAACCGCCTGTGTTCTCTGCGCGAAACCGTATCTGTGGTAAATCAGGAAGCGAGTGCGGTTCACGGCACCCTTTGGAGTAAATGTATTTGTCCCCTGCTGGACGGTCAGGAAAGGTTATGAGCAAACACTGGTCATGCTTCTCAGGAGCTCACACTTATTTGAACACGTCGTCTCTTCCATTTCCTGGAGGAGGAATTGTGGGACGGCGTGGGGAGGGTGGCACCCCAGGAAGACATCGGATAATAGCGGGGTCTGACTCAGCGAAAAATAGCCTGCTTTAGAAGAATGGAGCCTGTGGAGTGATCACAGAACATGTCTGCCCCACAATACTGGGCAGGAAGCTGGTCCGCTCCTGGACTGTCTTCAAGGAAGTGGATTTTGTACATGGCCTCTGGCACTGTAGCGATGAATTTGGACATTTAAGTAGGACATGATCTTAAATCAGTGTTCCTATAGCAACCAATTAGATTTTAGGAATGTAGAGGTGACCGATAATATCTGTGGCAGTCTTTCTCATGAATGTTAATTAGGTGATGTAACATTTGTTTTAATTAGGGATGCACAATATATTGTACCATATCGGTTATTGGCATAGTTTTGTTTTACTTTTTTGAAGGAATTTTTAGGGCTTTATTAGAGTTTTATTTTTTTTACTTTTTTGATATTGATATTTTATATTTAATTATGCATGATCATTTCCTTTTATTATTATTTTTAAATGGCATTAGCCGTCATCTAATCTCACTTAAAGTTACGCTTTAAAAACACTAATAATTTAATACTGTTAAATAAAATCTTTAGCTAACCATGAAATAAGTATCTGTTTTAATACTGTACATTAAAATGTTGTGATGCCTACATTTATTGTAGCATTTAAATGGATTGATTTTAGTGTTTTATTTTACATTTATTTAGACCCAATAATATACAGTTTTAATATCATCCATTTATCGGTTATCGGCCAATATTAAAACTGATTAAAAAAATAATAATTTTACCGCTATACATTGTATTCATTGTTCAAGCTCATTTCCTCTATTTTTATATTTAAATTACCTTTGCCATTAAAGTTTATTTTTGACAACACTAATAATTTCAGAACACTGTTAAATATCATCTTCAGCTAATCTCAAAATAAATATCTGTTTTATGTACATTATTATGATGCCTACATTTATTGTAGCATTTAAATTATTGATTTTAGTGTTTTATTTTCAATTTATTTAGACAATAATATACAGTTTTAATATCGACCATTTAGCGGTTATCGGGTGATTATTAAAACTGATTTTAAATTATATATATATATATTTTTTTTTACAATGTAGATATTGGATATTTATTGTTCAAGCTCATTTCCTCTTTTTTTATATATATTTAAATTACCTTTGCCATCATCTAACGCTCACTTAAAATTAATTTATGACAACACTAATCATTTATTAACACAAATATAAACTTTAGCTAATCTTAAAATTAATAACTAATTTTCATACTGTACATTATAATGTTGTGATGCCTGAAATTCACTTGTAACTTTGAAAACAATTTATGTATTTATTTATCTATTTATAGACAAAGTAATATGAAATTTTAATATCGGCCATGTCAATATAAACGTTTTTTTGTTTGTTTTTTTTGTAATTCATCAATGCCAGCAGATATTGGTTATATAATTGTGCATGCTAATTTCCTCTATTTTTATATTTAAATTACTGTTAAATTTAATCTTTAAAAAAATCTCAAAATGTTTGATTTTTCATAACATACTTTATAATTTTGTGATGCCTAAATTTACATGTAACATTTAAAATTATTTTATTTAATTATTTGTTTATAGACAAAAATAGTAGAAAATTTAAACATTGGCCTTAAAATGAAAATAATAATCAGCTTATCTGTATCAGCCAGAAATGTTATACTAGTCATTGTTCTCAACCACTCATTGATTTTTAAGGGCAGGTTAAGATAGGAATATTGTTCCAGAACCAACAAATGATGTTGGTCCTGGAACACGTCTTACTCGTGTAAATCAGATTTGTTTCTACACTCACTGCATCTGATTCCATGTTGCTAAATTTGAATAAAAGTGAGCGCAAAACCTTTCTAGCATTATTGTTTGGTCAAGCCAGCTTTCTCTGCCCACTCGACAATAACTTTCCAGAAGTCCAGCCGTCACTTTTGGGTCATTAGCACTTGGTTGAGAGGATTACATAGCCACGGGGAAAGCAATAACAACGGTGCTTACATGCCTGCCGCCCCTTAGGAGTCCATGCAGTGCAATTCACAGACATATTTTTGCTTGGATATTAGCGCATTTGTATGACCTCCAAAATTGCATTGAATAAAGTCATAACCTGGGGAGCGAGTGAGCCAAGCTGTGCAGTTTCTTTTCAGTTGAATGAAGCCATGGATAGTACATCTTTAGATTGGTAAAATGTCATCTTAAGGATGGTTTCTCAAAGACTAGCATGTTGTGTAAGACCCCCGCTTTAGTCGTCAGCATGACGAACAAATCATTTGAAGCACATGCCAGGTTATAGAGATGAAGGCACTGAAAATGTATTACAAGGTTGACATTTTTCTGATTAAAGATGCTTCTTTTTATATCTTTCTGAATAGGATATACAGCCCTTTTCTTAAGAACCCTTCGCATTTCTTGCATCTTCAAGACGTCTTCCTCAGATAATGCTTTTTTTATTTTTATTTTTTGCAGTCTTTCTTTAAAGAAGGATTTTCTGGCGTGGTTCCTCCGCAGAAATAAAAGGACACGGTTTCATCGAAGCAAATACTACACTGACAATCACAGTACAAGATGTGCTGGCCGCTATACAACACATGCCATTGAAATGCAAAAGCCTCTGTCTCTCAGAGAAAGACTGAAAGAAGGGATTTTTAGGTCATTCTTAATTGAATTTCCTGGCTGATGACAGAGTAATATAGAGACTAATAGCATTGTGCGTGCATCTCGTGTCACCGCTAGAAATGCACTGGAGGAAGGCTCTTTGCGATCACTTACAGACACTGGATATATGAAAACCCTTCGTTCATTATGTCTTCGTTTAATAACTTAATAAGCCTTCTCCGTTATGTCCAATGTAGCTCATGTTATGAAAGTGGAATAGGCTTACGAGGGTTAATGCAACCATTTGTTTCGTTTAATTGAATGGAGCATGTAGTAGTTACAACTATGCTCTTTTTTTCTGTTGTTTTACACTGAAATCAGATCGTTTTTGTTCACTATTGTCTCTTCAAGTTGCTGAAATGAACATTCATTGACATAATTAACAAATATTTTATGTTGTACCTTTTGTTACATGTGTATATATCAGGAGTTTTTCAACCCAAATGTGAGGATCCTTTGAAAATATGAAGGCAGTTATATATTTTAATGTATTATTTATAATGTCGCAAACGTATTATAGACAATATTTTGTTTAAAAATATATTTTTTATTATTCTTTAGCTACATTGTTGCATTAAAGCCAAAAATATGAAAACATTATATTTATTAAAATAATTATTTTATATTACGTTTTTTGTTTAATTTTAGATTTTTCATTTTTCAACACATTTAGAAACATTTTTCATTTTTTTTAAATTTTCTTTTAAGAAAAAATATAATTCCAAAGCACCTTTAAGACTGGCGTAACACTGAAAATAACAGAAATATATAAATATTTATGAATATAAGTATTTATAAATATAATAAATATAAATACAAATGAATATGAATACAAATATTTTATAAGTGAAATTGTTTAATTGTTTTGTGAAATTCTTTCCAACTTTATCTTATTTTTTTCTCTCTAGTCTAGAGCTACATAACTGAAAATATCAGAAACAAAAATATAAATATAAATGATTATGAATCATTTATATGTGTTATAAGTGATACGCAAATTCATTTAAATAAAATGGAAATTGTTTTAATTATACTTTTTTTTTATTCTAATGTTGTGTAGAAACAAATATAAATGCAGAGTAATTATAATATTTTTTAATATATATTTTCTGTTGGAATATATTTTGTAATTTCAACTTTATCTTTTTTTTTCTCTCTCTAGGCCCCAGTTTAAAAACCCCTCACTGTACGTGCACAGAAACAGTCCAGTTGTTACTTACCTTTAACTAAACACAGGGCAATTTTGAACATCTAACACAAGGTACGACTGTAATTCCTGGTAAACTGTTTCTTTAATACATTTAAACTAACCGAAGCCGCAAAGTGGAGGCGGGCGGAAATGTAATGGTTTTCTGTCGACCCGGCTGCCAGCTTCATCAATAGGGAGCCGCTAATGTGCAGACGAGAGCCGGGCGGTTCGATTACAGCTTCATTTGGTAATGAAGTGAGAGCGAGTGGCTCCCGTGAACGCTTTAAAGAGCCCAGCGTGATGGTTTGGAATCGAATAAAGCAGATTTTGTGATTCAGACACTTGCAGGAGAGTTCGCTAGCATTGCGACACAAATGAGACCCCACGCAAACACTGTCTGTACTCATATGCATATCATTACATTTAATTACAACAAGCTGGCGCTTTAGTGGTGTTCTCGCCCGTGGACATGGACACACACAAGCGTACACACGTATACTGTGAGATACCCTCATCTGTTGGCAGCGCGAGTAGACCAGAGGGAGCGAGACAGCTGCCTGGGGTGGATGTGTGCCTCCCAGTTTGTGTGGGATTGCACCCATGCCTTTCGTTTGGCCGGCTGAAGCTGCCTGGAGGGTGAAGTGTATTGTAAGTGTGACCACAGTACATTGTTGCATGACTAATCTCGGCCTTCCATCTGCCACTGCGGCCCCGGCACAAGCACTGCGCTCTCCAGCATCAAGCACTGCCATATTGCATCAGTCACAACATCTTGGCTTTGACTGGCACTCTACTACAGCAGAAGCGCCCGGGTGGACCCACTGCCCGCCTCACAGCCGGGAATTATGTGATGTTACATGTGCACTCATAACAAAACACAGAGAGTTGTCCTGACGTCCAGAGCTGACGGCTTGTGCAAATGTCTTTTTTTGAGAGAACTTGATTGTGATGCACAATGTGTTTAGTTTAAATGGATGGTTCTCTGTGCCATCATTTACTCACCCTCATGTTGTTCCAATCCTTTCTTTTACGAAATACAATAGAAGATATTTAAAAAAAAAATTCATTTTTGGTCCCCACTGACATTTTTTCTCAGGTTTGAATCAATGCAAGGGTGAGTAAATGGTAACCGAATTTTTTTTAGCGTACTGTCCCTTTAAGGCCCCGTCCACACGGAGGCCTTAAAGGGACTGTATACGCATACATTTTGTATCGTATAGGCGTTTCGTCCACATGGATCTGGCATTTTGGGAGAGTGAAACCAATATTTTTTGAAACCGGGTCCCAGAGTGGATAAATCTGAAAACACCGCCCGTGTGTTTTCGTGTGGACGCGTGTGGACGCAGATATTTCTTGAGACGAGGGGAAAAAAAAGATCGGATAGGGAAAGCTCTGGCTTCGTGTGGACGAAGCCTAAGAACTAAGATGCATAGTTGTACTTTTTTTAACTTGACACGCCATCTTAAAAATTTTACGCCGGTGGTGGGATGCTCATAAAACAGTTTGCAATGCAATTCCCAAAATCTTCTCTCTGAATATATAAGACCAAAGTGGATAAATTTAAAAACACTTTTTCAAAAAATAAATAAATAAATTACCACGCAACCGTCCAACAGCTACAACATAGCAAGCTAATAGCTATGCTAATTAAAGCCATGCCAATTAAAACCTTGCTCTAAAGGCCCATTCATACCAAAAACGATAACTCTAGCGATACCTAGATATTCGTCCACATCAACGGACGATAATGTTCTGTTTATAAGCGCCTGCTGCAGTTTTTTCATCTGTCGCTTTAAATCAAGCTCTTTAAATTCGAGTGGATTCTGATTTGCTGTCAATGTTTTTATTGTTTATTAGCTTAAAGGGGTTATATGATGTTGCTAAAAAGAACATTATTTTGTGTATTTGGTGTAATGAAATGTGTTTATGCGGTTTAAGGTTAAAAAAACACATTATTTTCCACATACTGTACATTATTGTTTCTCCTCTATGCCCCGCCTTTCTGAAACGCGTCGATTTTTACAAAGCTCATCGGTCTGAAAAGTGAGGTGTGCTCTGATTGGCCAGCTATCCAGTGCGTTATGATTGGCCGAATACCTCAAGCGTGAGACGGAAATGTTACGCCCCTCACCATACTGTGATGCCCTGTCCGGCTGGAGCGACCGAGACAAAAACAATAAAGCCCATTTTAAACGAGGCATTTAATTGTTGCATCCAGTGGGGACATAATTACAGATTATAATGACTTATACTATCGTTTTACGCGTTGCGTTGCATTGCGCCGCGTAAACATAAAACCCTGTCTGCATTTGTGATCAGAGAAATGACAAACAACAAGCCCTACTATACACTGCCCAAAAAACTCGCTTTAAATATAAAAAATATAAAATATAAAAACTCTTTAAATATAAAAAACGTACTTACAGTCTGTGAGTCACAACAGCCGGCATTGTAGTCTACTCTACCAGGATCAGGAAACAGTCCTCCATAAAATGTGCTGCACACATCTGAATATTTGGGTTGAAGTGTTCTGGAACAGTGTTGTAAATACAACTTAACCACTGATTTCTAGTCGTGTCCTCTTTTGGAAGACCAAACAAAGTAGTTTCGCTTTCACAACGAAAAACACAGCGGCCTAGCATGAGCGAAAGCCCCGGCTTACCGTGAGCTGAGGCCGGGCAAGAGTGAGCTGAGGCGGCAGGGTCGAGAACGGCGGTCCCGGCGAAGGAACGGTGAAAACGGTGAGGGCCGATCCGGCGATCCACAGCACTAAGTTGATGTATTCCCTCAGCGACCAGCACAGATCAGCTCTAGGCATGACGAAGCGGATATCGTCCTCTTTTGGAAGACCAAACAAAGTAGCTTCGCTTTCACAACGAAGCACACAGCGTCTTCAGGACATGGCGGCAGCGGCAACAATACTACAGTGAGAATAAAAGTTACGCCTTCTTTCTTTGCGTGAACATTTGGGCGGCGTTATGCAAATCTTCCCACATAGTGACGTAGATATGTGGGGGCGTGTTAGAACGAGCCGTTTTAGGTAGGTGTGGCTAACTCTTAACTTTTATAAAGAATATCTCTTTGGATTTGAGACTTTAGTCTTTGCAACTTTACAGATCTTCTTTATGCACCAAGAGCTTGTAACACTCTAAAGAGAAAGGAAAAAATGTGGGGGCGTGTTAGAACGAGGCGTTTTAGGTAGGCGTGGCTGACTCTTAACTTTTATAAAGAATATCTCTTTGGATTTGAGACTTTAGTCTTTGCAACTTTACAGATCTTCTTTATGCACCAAGAGCTTGTAACACTCCAAAGAGAAAGGAAAAATTTAAATCGCATCATATGACCCCTTTAAAAAATCATTCTGAATGTGATTCCAATGATAACTTTCTTCTGTCTTTAATGTTGTAGTTGAGTTATAGACTTCACTGTTCTTATAGAATTAGAATGATTTTTAAAAATTTAGATTAAGGCCATTCACACCAAGAACAATAACTATAAAGACAACTATAATGATAACTATATTAGCGTGCACACCAACGGACAATAAGTTCTGTTAATTATATAAGCGCGTGCTGCAGTTTTGTCATCTGCCGCTTTAAATCAAGCTTTTTAAAGTCAAATGGATTCTGATTGGCTGTCAGGGTTTTTAATCATTTATTAACTGGAAAAAAAGCATTCTGAAAGTGATTCCAATGATACTGTTCCTCTGTGTCGTTATCATTATAGTTGAGTTGTGGACTTCTCATGAAACTAAAATGATTATTAAAGCTTTACAGTTATCATTATAATTATCGTCATTTGTGTGAACAGGTTTTAACTACTAAAAATATCAATACTAAAAATACAGGAAAAATCAAGAGAAACTAGTCAACTCCACTAATCAATTAGTTGGTTGTTGGACAACTAATCGAATAGTCAGCCATCCCTGCTAAACAAGTAGGCTATTTATTTCTTTAGTTTCTTTCTTTTGCCTTTCATATGGCTTCTTTCTTATAGAGTTTCTTTCTCTTGTAAAGTCTTGTAAATTACAGGGAGGATGTGTGGTGTGTCGAGAGCCGCCTCTCTCTCTCCCCGATTAAACCATCACACTCAGGCTCTCTTTAATCTTCCGCAGTCCAAACCACCAGCCTGCTTTTGTTGATGCTAATTCAAAACTCATGTAGAATCTGTCAGATATCCGAGATATTAACATTCAAGTAATTATAGCATGGACTTCTGGTTTGGTCTGCTGGTAATGCGCAAGATCAGGGAGTATTTGCATGAAAGCAAACCGTGGCATGAAATAGACGCATAGAGCTCAACAAAAATGTTTGCACTCTGATATAGTGCACTGAATGTACAAATACTGTATTCGGTAAATGTTTCCATGATTTGCCAGAAGTGGAAAACTACAGATTGCAGTGTAATTGTGGGCAAAGCCAAAAGTGCACACATGACTGTGCTGCAAGTGATTACAGTTGAGTTCATCTCCAAGTCAGGGAGATGATGTTTAAGAGCCCAAGCATTTAGCAGTTTGCAACATGCACAAATTTGATCACTCTCTTCTCAGCAGTACAAGTGAGTTTTTTTTTTTTTAACCAACGTCAGCATTTAGTACGGCAAAAAAAGAAACATTCACAACTGTGAAGTGTTAGTGAGACACCCAGTCACACACTTTTTCACAGACATTTAGCTACCCAAATGGGGACTTGCAATTGATGATATTATTTTTATATACAGCTAATTATATTGTAAGCTTTCACAATTAGAATAGCTGGAGACAAAAAGAAAGTGCACTAATTGTGTGACTTCATGTTTTAAAAGTATATTTAAAAAACTGTACTTGCAGACAATATATAATGTTATTTAAACTAAAAGTAAAGTACTAGAATGTAAAGCACATTATAAATCCGAATGTTTTAATCTTTTGTCCTGCTGTAAAAAAGTACACTTATTTTTAGGTGTTCACTAACATACTTGATTAGAATTTTAACTGTAGCGTGTTATTTGACATTACATTTAAAGCTAATAAATGTATTAAATTGCAACTTCATTATTACAAATGTGTAATTACAAATATATTTAAACACATGCCATGCAAGTTTTAATAGAGTTTACATTAAAGTAGAGTTTTAGTTTACCATAAATGCTTGTCAGTATATTCGGTAGTAAACTTTAACCACATTTCAAATACAATTGAAGATATCCCTACTTAATTGTCAAAAAACACTCTAATATTTGCATGATTGCGTTTAATATAAATTTAAACTTTAATATTTACTCTCTTTAAAAGTATCTAAAGTGTCTTTTTCACAAGTTTCCAACACTTTGTAGACACACATTAACACATTGTGAAGTGTAGCCTGCTCAAATTTGACAGGAAACACATGCTTGTAGTTCTACAATAGGCAGCACTGTTTTGACTGGGCATTTCCCCAATTAGCATAGCCGCAAGGCCAGACGTGACTTGAAAACTCAAGTTTTGTAGTTAGCAATCACTCTGTGTGACCATTTAGATGAGATTTCTATGGTTTTAACACTTCATGGTTTACCTCAAAGTCATACGCACACACGCGTTTGATGTCGTAGCGCTCTTGGCTGTTTATTTGAGCAGTTGGCTGCGATAGGATGCCAGATTTTTCCAGTGTTTCCTTGATTTGTAGCGTAATGCTTCTAATGAGATTGCGATTAGCCGCAGCGTTTTTGTGCAAGCAGTTTTCCTTTAACATGAAACGTACTGTGTGGCACTAATGCTAAAGACAGTGACTCGTAGGAGTGATTTGGGTTAATCACTCTCTCTCTTATAAGCTACAGGATCAACATTTGTCATTCAGCAATCTTCTACCACAAATTTAAAAGCTGGTCTGACATCATTGCCAGCTTGTAAGTGTTCATTTCTAAGACAGCAGCTGTTTTGGTTTAGCATAAGTGCCACTCCTAAATTAGCGTGGCTTATGTGTTTTCTCATTTCCTTCATGGGCTTTCAATCATGTGTTGATCTTTAGCTTTTGGTTTGATGTTTTTTATGGGTGATGAGAGAATGTTTTAATTGTATTTAATGTGCTCAGCGTTAATTATTATTTTTCATTTCCTAACCGCAAATGGATTCACTGTGTGAAGTTGTAAACAGGCCATTTTTGAAGATGCGATGGCATTGTTTAACAGGCCCAGTTTTCTTCCCTGCATAGATGCATTTCCTTTTTAAAAAGGAAGTTTGAAGTAGCCAATAGAGTTTAGAATGTCACAGCCATAAGCCATGATTTGCTAGTAAGTTGTTATTAAGCGTGGGACATTCTTATTCTAGAGAGCATCTGATTGGATGAAAATCTTAGTAGTGCAAAATGAGTCATCATTATATTTGATCTGTTTTTCTGATACTGTTATAGTTTTGTTTTTATATTTTCTGTTTTCATTTTTATTTTAGTTAAAGTATTAGTAATTTTGCTATTTTTGTCATTAGTTTTACTTATAAAACATTTTATAACTTGGCAAATGGCTGAAATATAAAAAAAAGGCCTATTTTATTTTTATTTCAATTAACATTTATTTTATTCCAAGTAACAATTTAAAAAAAATTAAAAAAAAATTTTTTTTTTATTCCAAAGTAACCTGAATTTTTATAAATAATATACTCAATTACTATGATTTTGTACTGCATAATGATCGCATTATGGTAATACTATGGTATTCTTTGAAGTATCTTGAAAAACCATTATAAATACCATAATAAACTAATATGGTAATTCTATAATTAAATTTTTCTTCCTGTTCACCCCTGTTTGAATTGTTGTGTTTTCAAAGACTTATCTTAGCTCTTTGCAGAAAGTTAAACGACCAATCATTGGCATTTTTTTTTTTTATTATTGGTTGCTCTTCCCAGGTCAGTGTGCCTAGAGTTCTCCAGGCTCGGGCTCTGTGATCCCAGCTGTTGCCATGGATCCCAGCAGCTGGAGCGGCAGTGAAAGTGCCGGCGAGGATATCGAGAGGATGAGCGACTCGGCCGATAAGCCCATGGACAATGAAGCTGAGGGCGTGTGGAGCCCTGACATTGAGCAGAGCTTCCAGGAGGCCCTGGCCATCTACCCACCCTGCGGACGACGGAAAATCATCCTGTCCGATGAGGGGAAAATGTATGGTGAGTTGAAAAAACTGCAACCATTGGTTTGATTGCTCGGTCAGAACTTGAGTTTGTATCCAGAGTTCACATAAACCAGACCAGCTTTTCAAGTTTGAATTGAACCAACCAAATGAGCACAACTTTGAAATCAAATTGACTTTAAATATAGAGGTTTTACAAACAGACCTACGTATTTTGACTAGCTATGTAACGTTATGACTTGCAGCTTGTTTTGACTGCTCGTAATCGTGAGTTGTTTGTTGAGGTTGGCGGGGAACAGGCTCATCAGAAAGTTCTCAGGGAAGTTGTTAGTTGTTTGTCCTCAGGGTGAGACGATGAGGTCCATCGGGCCTCTGAAACTGGAAAAACAGGACTCCAGCGGGCCAGGTGATGGAGCAGGCTGGCTGTCCTGGGTTCTGTTGTAAATTCAGCGTGATTCAGCCATTAGTTAGGAGCAGATGGTCGTGCGGCTGACACCAGCTGCGCTCCCAATCCCCTCCACCTCATTCCCCAAAGCTTCCCCCCTCCCCTCCACTCCTCCCTCAAACTCCCGGCTGGGCTGATGTCATGGAAAGAGGGAATACTGATTTTCTTTTCTCTTAGGATATTGAACATGCTCTTGGCCTTGTCCACAATGAAGCCTCCTCACACTGCTTGGACTTGTATCCAGCTGTCTTTATTAGGAACAACTCGGAAACCAAACAGTTGTTAAATCCGGATGCATGATGGAAAAAGTGGACAAGCTTATAAATCATAAAAGCGCTGCTATTTTGAAAGTGTTTTTTTCATGGTTGCAGCCCGCCTGGGGATGCAGGTTCGAATCCAACTTGCCATTTCCTTTGCCTTTTTCCAATTTCCTTTTCTTTTAAAACATTTATGTTTATGCAGTTGGCACACACTTTTATCCAATGCGACTCACATTGCATTCAAGTCATGCATTCACTGGGAATCGAACCCACAACCTTGGTGTTGCAAGTAACATGCTCTACTGTTCCTTTGAAACCTTTCCTTTGAAATCTTGGTTAAACTTTACAATAAGAGTCTGCGCCAAAAGCCTTGTGGGCAGTGTGCCGACGTATTGTGCAATTGCGCTACGGGCATCCCGAGTTCGAATCCCGTCTCGAGGACCTTTCCAGATCCCGCCCCCCTCTCTCTCTCCCACTTCACTTCCTGTCTACATAAAAAAAAGGCAAAAATAAGTCTTAAAAAAAAAAACCTTTACAATAAGGTTGAATTTGTTAACATAACCTACTGCATTACCTAAAAAATTAAATATCTTTACAGCAATTATTATTACTTATATAATGCAATTATATAAATTATATATATTATTTTTTTTGTTGTTTTTTTGTGTAGCACAAGAGACTTTCATAATCCCATAAACGCATTTCTCACACAAAGGATGTTTTAGATTTTCTTTAAATAATTAGTTTAGGCTTGGCATTTATAAGAAATGTTTTTTAAAAATGCATGCTACTATAATTTATTTTTCTTATATCTTACATTTTTCATTTTTCATTCCTGTTCTGAATACTGTTAAATTTAAAGGATTTTTAACATTGTTTTATTTACTGGTATTTTATGCTATTTCTAAATGTAATGATAAAATGTGACATATTTTTCCTAAAATACAGTAATCTAGCTTAATGTTTATTTCTACATACAGTATACTAATTTTCAACCTGTCAATGCGTAAAGATTTTATTATAAATGAACATGAAGGTTAGCTACATTAATAAATAGTTGCTCATTGTTAGTGTTTTAACTAATGTTAACAAATTGAACCTTATTAAAAAAGTTAAATGCCAAAAAAGGACAATTATTTCCCAACAGACACCTGTTTGTTCCCATGACCACAGTAATTTTTTCCTTCAGGCATTTCCTTCTAAATAAATTGGCTGGTGTTCATGGGGGGTTTCTTGGGTCGCTGAGGCAAACCTGTCACCTCCTACGCTGACGTTTGTGTAGCATTCCTTAGCCTCGCGCTTGCCGTCACCTTCGTTATTTCATCGTCCATAGCAACTGTATGAGATTGAATTTATCTGCACGTACCCATCACAGACCCATACAAGATCCCGGTCCCCAGTCCTGCCTCTCTCCAGGTCTGTGAGCGCTGTGTGTTTAATTAGCAGCCGTCCCTATAGCAACCGCCTTTCGTTTCAAAACAATATGTAGTTTTTTTCCTTGTGTCATGGCTCAGCTTATCTCACTGTTTACCTGAGGGGGCTCCTTAGACTCGAGTCAAAAAGTTCACGTTTTTGCTATAAATGGTACAAAACGCTGTGGCAGCTGCCATGTGGTTTCACAGGTGAACAAAACACTTGTTTTTCCCACAAATCTTTTCTTTCTTCTGTTTTTTAGTGTAAATTTGGCTGTTTGTTGCATGGTATTTCTCTTTTTTTCTCTTTTGTGAGATCAGTGCCCTCTCTGTCGACTCTGATATCATAAACCATTTGGTTCTGCTTTGCTTGTTTTTATTCGCGATCTTTACAACACGCATTACATTACGTATTTCACGGCACACTCGTTTTATGCGTATTTGGCGCCACCTAGTGTTGTGGGTGTATTATTGACATGTCAAAGTCTAGACCCTGAATATAAGATGACCGCGTTTTTTCAGATGTATTTCCAAGAAAAAAACATCGTCTTATATTCGGGACAATACGGTACTTATTTTAGGCAGAAAAAGCATGCCATAAGTAGATTTGACAGTCCCCCGCTGGGTTCGATGAAAGAAAGATCTAATCACACTGGTTTCACTTCTGAGGGGACATACTGTGAGGACTTAACATAATCTCAGCCAATTAATATTTCTCAAGTGTTTTATGTTCCGGCATCCATATCCACCTGCACTTAAGAAATGTATTGTATCGTTTGCAAGCACAACTAACATACTTGGCCATTCTGTGGTCGTATATATTTTAGTAAAATGCCTGTCTTTGCAAGTGAAAGCAAACAGCTGAGAAAGAAAACACGTGTTACAGTATATTGGATCCGGGCAGCTCTTAAAGTGACAGCAGTCTAATATTCCTGCTGTCTGTCATTCATGTTAATCAAACCACAAAAGAGAGAAAATCTCCCACTGCTCTTGACTAACTTTAACTTTTGTAACTTCAATAAGAAGAAAAATATATTTAATTTAGACAGTGAAGAATATTTAATATATTTTTTATTAATTTGATTACTTTATACATTGTATGTAGCATTTCTTTTTTATTTGTTCTACTGTAGTTATTGTCCTTTTGCTTATAGTTAGTTTCTTATTCTTATTTAATCGCTGACTGTTTTTTTAGTGAGCTTGAGTTTTTTTTTTAGGCTATTATTAGCTAGTTTTTTGTGATGTTGACACTGGTGACAAGAAATACCAAATTTCTATAGTATCTAAAAATTTAGATTTTTTTTTTTAACCTAATTTAAAGCATAAAGACCTAATTTAAAGCAAAAATAACTATATTGTGATATATCATTCTCGTGAAATAAAATTACTCATATCGTGAGATGAGAGATATTGGTCATATCACTAGGGCTGTCAAAATGGCTGAAAAACTAAATTAGAATTTTGTGCTTAAATATTATCAAAATTCGAATTATATTCGAATTTAAAATGCATAATTTCAGATAGGGTAAAGAAAAGCTTTTGGCTTCTCTCCTGAGGCCACAAGAGAGCGCATCGAGCATAAGATAACATGACTATCCGTGGAAAAAAAAGTGCATAATGTTTATAAACCAATTATAATTAATTAAGTTGCTTAAACAACTATAAACAAAACAGCATCATGTATGTATGCATAGTTTAATACAAAGGGCCGAAAGCCAATCACACAGAGTACATTTTTCATTTAAAAACACGAGTTGCAGTCAGATGGGGAAAAAACTTGCCATAAAGTCTCGAGATATGTTTTTCAAAGTTAAACTTGCATTAATTTTACATGGCTTGCTAAACATGCGGCTCCTTTGTGCAAGATGCGAGTGCAACGGTGATAGATGTCCCTCTAGAAAATG